ACAATTTATTAATCCATTCATGTGTTGATGGGTACTTGATTTGATTCCACATCTTGACAATTGTGAATTGAGCTGCAAAATTAGAATTTTTTAAAAATCCACAGGATATAGCAGATGTGCTATATCTCCAAAGAAATGCTTTGAAAACAAAGCAGCAAAATAATCTTTAGGAAATATGTCTAATGTATATCCACACTCCCAACTATTTTCCTTTCACAAGTTAAATTATAACTTGAAAAATACTATTGCATTAGGCTAAGAAAGAAAAAATTCAGAGCTACCTGATTTTGGACATAAATTATAATGCTAGATTAAACATATATCCTGGATACACGTGTGCAGATTTTTTCATTGATTTTTTTGTATTTGCTGTTTTGCACCGACCAAAACCACTAGTGTTTTAAAACATGGCTTCCTCCCTGCTTAAAAATTGGCTTTTTTGCAAGTATCCAATGTATTTAATACTAATATGCAGCCAGTAGATGAATTAAAACGTACCCACACAAGAGAAAAACTCAATTTAATTCAAGTTGGGGGGATGGAGAAGAATGGAAAGCAGAGGCGGGAGGGGGACAGGTGTGCTCTCACCGAATGGGCACAGTGTCAGGGTATATGACACCTCCTGGGTGAAGAGCACAACTGCACAGAGACCTTACCTAACAAATGCAAACATAACCTAATAGTTTTTACCCTCACATTAATCTAAAAAATTTTTTCAAATTGGCTTTTTTACCTTTGTACTTTCTTTTTGGCCAGTGAAAACAACATTAAAGTTGTCTAAATAATCAAGGACCTCTTAACTTGACTTGGACAAAGAAAAGACACCATTGCAAACTAATTCCATCATAGAACAAATGACACCATTTGTATTTAAACATTCTACACTTGGGTTTATTTTTCTTTGACACTTAAAGAACCATCATTTTACTCAGGCTATAAGTAGATTGTAATTTTATGCCGATAATGATGTCTCAGGGACAAGGATACTGGGTAAAAATAGAAAGTAGAATTTGATTTTTAAATTAATACCGTATCCCCAAATACCACTTTTTTACCTTGTTGAATATATTTAAGATCCTGTTCATGTTTCCAGGGGGTTCATAATATTTATGAAACTGGAAAGGAGAAAAGGAATGCTTTATTAGAGCCAGTTTTTTTTCATAAAGCATCTAGGCATCTTGCTGCTGTATTTTTAGCTCAGTCTCTGTGGATGTTATGTGTAGCTTATGGTCCCTTTACTTAACCACAACCCTGAAAAGTACCTCTTTGCCTTCATCAGCCTTCATTTTAGCATGAATTTTTTTTAGTATGCGCAGATGCCGTCTTAGCAAGAAAAATAGATCTTCATCAATATTTGCTTATAAAAGAAACCCAAGGAAGTTAGGTAATTCTAAATTTCTACTAGAAATATGGTATAGAACTTGCTACTAGGCTCTGCACCCGGAGCACAGTGGTTACGGCGCCAGCCACATACACCGAGGATGGTGGGTTCGAACCCAACCCAGGCCAGCTAAACAACTACAACAACAAAAAAAAGAGCCAGGTGTTGTGGTAGGCGCCTGTGGTCCCAGCTACTTGGGAGGCTGTGGCAGGAGAATCGCTTGGGTCCAAGAGTTTGAGGTTGCTGTGAGCTGTGATGCCACAGCACCCTACCCAGGGTGACATAGCGAGACTCCATTTAAAAAAAAAAAAAAAGTTACATTTAACAATTTTTTTCTATCTCCTTGCTATTACCGAAGGATAATTACTTTTGACTTTCTTTCATGACAATTTTTTTGCCTAGAAACTGCTAAGAAATCCACAGAGCAAAGACAGAAGTGCCTGTTCTCCTTCCCTGCCTCATGGTGGCTTCATTTAATAGCAGTGTTTGTGACTCTAACCCTCCAAAGGACCTCAAAGTGCTTTTCTTTTTCCCTTTTACCCCCGCACCTTTCCCTGCTTGTTCTTATTCTTGCTTCCTCCAAATTTAAACTGCATTGCTGTAGCAAACTATGAGGTATATTTGGATGATAGAGGGATGGATAGAAGTATGGTAAAGCAAATACAGGGTGCAAAATTTAATTTGCACACGAACTTTATGTCCACCCTATATAATAAGTTGTTAATGGTAGGATGTAGATGGAGGTTATAGAGGCATTCATTGTAGGATTCTTTCGGCTGGGGTGTATGCTTGAAAATTGTCATATTAAAATCTCTTAGGAGTGATTACCCATGAAGGGTGGGATGACAGAGGTTATTACTTTGTGTTTAAATATTTTACAATTATATTAGAGAAAAATGAAGATAATTCTTTTTAAAACTACATAAAACTGTTTTCACAAAGTCACAAGACTATTGATTTACATGGTCTTCATGTTTCAAATTTACATTAGTTTACGATAAGAAACTGAGTGTGCACAAAGAATCAGCTATATGATGATGATGATCACTGTCATTACAATAGGAAATTGGTTACATAAACGATGGTGTGTGTGTAGTCAGTGGAATATTATACAGCCATTAAAATGTATAGGTTAGAAACAAATGCACTGAGGTGGGAAGATTTTAATGATATAATATTTTATATGTTATCTATACAATTAAGAATTTCTGAACATAGCTGGAGGTACCCTACGTACACATAAAATGTTACTCAGTTATGAGGTTATGAAATTGTTTCTTATCTAGATCTTTTTTAATCCACATTTTAAATGTTTTCCTTAAGAGAAATTTCCCTTTTTTTATTAAATTCAAAAACCAAAAAGAAAAACACAAAAGTGAAGAAGAAAAGAAAAAAAATATGTTATTTTTCTGTGAAAATAAAGGAAACCTTGGTATCTTTAAATAATTTTGGATGAAACCAAAAAGATTATCTCAGTGTTCTCTTTTATCTATATCACTAAAATCTGTTCTCTTATATTTTCTTAATCTTGCTCTTGTAAAGAATGCATTTGAAATATGTGAAAACAAATAATTTCATTCATTCTTCTGAAGATATTTTCATGGACTTAACTAGTGGCTTTTGAAAGAAAAGTTAAGATGATTTCATGCTGTGGGGCCCAAGGCATTTTGTACTTGAAAATATCCTATCTTTAATCTCTAATTGCATTAAATTTCTGTGTCTGACTCATGAAGAAAGGAAGCTTCAAAGCAGAAAAGGGAAAATTTAATTTCCCTCTAAATACAATAACCATTGATGATATAACACCAATGTTCCAAGGTTTACAAATGTCCTACCCAGAAGAAATAAGAGTTTGATGCGTGTCAGTTAAATAATAAAACAATGTTTTCACTTATTCTGGATCTTCCTAAGGAGAGACCTTAGCAATATGTTGAAATTAGGCAGTCTTTACAATATGTCTCTTAGAGAGATAAAGGGAGAAGACAATTACTGTTACTTTTTTCCATTCCCTCAACATTTATTAAATACTTTATGACTCTGAGCTTAATGTTTTCATTATTGTTTTTACTTTATAGAAGATGTATTTTCTCCATATATTTTCTTTCAATGACTATTGAAAGAACAGTTGGACAGAAACAAAAGTAAACTAAGCAAAAATAGAGTTCATCTCTGGGTTCCATTTCTCTAGTCCACTCATAGTCAATGATATTGAATCTGTAACTCATTCCCCTGTGTACGTGCGTGTGCATGTGCGTGTGTGTGTGTGCGTGTTTATGCTCCTCTACTTCCTCTCCCAGGCTGGTAGTCTATTCTAAGCATGTCTTCTTGGTCCCTCAAAATGTATAATGTTTTGTGTTCTTTATCTCTTGTCCTTCAGGTAAAATGTCCATTGATCGAGCTTTGAGGAAGCAGCAGCAGTTAAACAACCTTGTTTATGTGGTGAAAAATCAGGCCAAACCTGGCGACAGAATTGTGGATTTCTGCAGCGGTGGGGTAGTATATCTCCTCTTTCATCATTTATAGCGTTTCTGCAACTGTTCTTTTTCTACATTACATTCAAGACCATGTTTTTATTTGGCAAGATTTTTGTCTCAGAATGAGCAAAAGCCGTGGAGAAAAAGTTAACTTGTTTCTTTCGCTGACTTTTTCAGGGCCATGTTGGAATTGTCCTTGCTCACATGCTGCCATCATGCCAGGTAACATCCTGATCACAGATAAAAGGAAACACTGAAAAACTGTACAGTTCAGCTAACCCAATCTGGCTTCTCCTTGCTCTTTGAGTTTCTAGTCATTGACCCAAGTCAAGTATGTGGCATAAGCATTTCCTTTTTTTCTTTGAAATAAACTTCCAAGATTCAGAATCTTAAGGAGAAAAAAGTAGAATAGGAACACAAAGCAGTTACCAATTTTTTTAAAAGGCTTGTATATTTAAATAATTTACAAAGAAATAACTATTTCATTTTTATATAAAATAATTATGATTCTACTATTTTAATTTCAATGTAATTTTAAATGGAAATACTGGCTTTTGAAACTTGCTGAGCATGTTCTTTTGGTATCTTGTTTATGGTGCATTGCATCAATATTGTACCAATAATAAAATTATTTTTAAAGGAAAAAAGTTAAAGTAATAAACCTAAAACCTACCATAATGATCCATCAAATATTTTTGTTGTTGTTGTTCTTAAGTCATTGTCCATACAGATGTTTATCATTGAAAAAACAATTATAGCCCCCTGCGTTCACTCAATAGTATATTATAAATATTTTACCTATTGGTATTAATTTTGCACATCATTATGTGTACATATACACATATGTACACATTATGTGTACATATACACATATGTAAAAACAAATGTAATATGTTTTTAGGTAAATACGCCATGATTTGTCTCAATCATGGCCACAATTTGTTAGCAGTTGTGCTGTTTTTAGTCTTCTGCCATATTAAGTCAATTCCTCAAGTGATTACCTTTTAACAAAAATGTCTTGGGGGGAAATGTCATCTTTTTAAAACATATATATAAATTAACTGGAGCAGAGTCTTAGCTTGTGAGCTCTCTGAAAGGTATGAATTCTTTAAAGTGAATACTTTGGGAAGAAAAAAATGTGAAAAAAAATGATAGACATACTGGCCAGAATGATATAGAATAAAGAAAGAATCTGGAAGAAGAGGCAGGTGTCTGTTTTATTATTAAGGAAAGCAGCAATTTCATGATTAAGAAGAAAAGAGCTCACAGAGTAAAAGCCTGGAGAAGCAGAGTCAGGGGTAGTGTTAGTATCTTTTTTTTTTCTTTCCTAGTAGTTTTCCTGTAAGCTTAGACAGGTTGAAACTCAAAAAGGGAAATCTTGGTTAGAATAAAGGCCAGAAAACCTTTGACACCAAGTATACTTTAACAGGTTTTTTAAACAAAGGGACCTAAGATTTTTCCATAAGGACAAGATAAGAACTAGAAATGATAGTGATGAAAGTGACTTAATTCTTCCCATTTTTCTCCATCCAAACCATCTTCTCTGTCTGGGGAACTCTTGGAAACACCCTGGGAAACACCCAGGTTTTTCCTGCCTTCTACCTCACCCCCACCAATGCAGACTACTGAAACTTGCGTTACCATGTATGTGGGATCTGGCTCCTATTTACCTCTCCAGCCTCACTTCTATGCTTCGTTCCCTGACCCTACCCCCACTGTCATCATCAGACACACCGTGCCCCAGATATACCAGTTTTCTCAGTTTTTCAAATACACCCTCTCTTTCTCACCTTGGGCTTTCATATGTATTTCTCTTTCTACCTGAAACACTCTTCTATTCCCCAGCTAATTTGTGCTTATTTTTCAGGCCTCAGTAAATATGTTACTTCCCTACAAAAACCTTCCTTAGTCATCAAGTATGACTGCTCCCATAACTTGTGTATATTGTTTATCTTTCATTACTTATCACATCAGATTATTATTACCTGTTTCATTTGTATCACTATACTATGCTTTAAGAATAGTTTGAGGATCTTTAATTTTTCATTTTTGTACCAGCTTATCTGGCATACTTCTTAGTATCTGGCATAGGATAGAGAGTCAATATAATATGTTCTACATTATTAAAACCATGAAATATAGTAATAATGCTTTGTCCCAATGTCTGAATTATGTTACTGAATATGCATACTATTATTTCTTGGGTCAAATCTAGGTTACATTAATAGAAAACAAGGAATTATCTTTAATTCGTGCTAAGAAGAGAAGCGACGAGCTAGGTTTAAACAACATTTGGTTCATTCAAGCAAATATGGAATATTTTACAGGCATGTTTAATATCGGGGTAAGTATTTAAATAATGTCAATTTCTTTAATTAGATAAATAAGAGAAGTTATATGCCTTAAGCTAAAAAGGGGAGAGAATTTTAAATTCTTTGCTAAACAAAGAAATCTGTAACCTATATTTACATTTCTCTAAAGTATATATAGCATATTAGTATTACTGTAATCATAGAATGTTATCATGATTTATCATTGGTTCATCTACCAAGAAAAGAACTTTCTTTTCTTCCTATGGAATTCCCAGTGCTTTTGCTTTAGAACAATATTCAGCACAAGTCAGTGCTTAAAAATGGTTAGTAATTAAATGAATGAATTCTAATGAGATGACTTGCTGTGGTTTATTCTGCATTTTGGGAGGACAGTGGAAGAAAAGAAAAATAAAGAAGGTAATAAAAAAAGAACAATATTGGCTCTGTGCCTGTGGCTCAAGTGGCTAAGGTGCCAGCCACATACACCTAAGGTGGTGGGTTCGAATCCAGCTCGGGCCCGCCGAACAACAATGACGGCTGCAACCAAAAAATAGCCGGGTGTTGTGTCAGGCGCCTGTGGTCCCAGCTACTTGGGAGAATGAGGCAGGAGACTCGCTTGAGCCCAGGAGTTGGAGGTTGCTGTGAGCTGTGATGCCACGGTACTCTGCCCAGGGGGACAGCTTGAAGCTCTGTCTCAAAAAAAATAAAAAAGAACAATATTAATAGCTTGTTAGTAACCTCTGAATACTAATGTTCCCTTTAGATAATCTTTTCTTTATCCGAGATTTGATATCTTCTTGTACTTCTAGCTTCTAAGAGATAGAAGTTATGTTGATCATGTCTCTAAACCCTTAGATCAAATTGTTATTATTTGATATTAGTAAAATTAATAAAAGACCTAAGATATTTGATTCTACCTGATCATGAAAAACCAAAATTCTATGTTTTCTCATAGAATTTGACTTTCATAAATGTGTTAATGTTGCTGTTATTCTTTGTATTTGTTTTAAATAATGTTTTTTCTGCTTTTGATAAGAATATACATGTTCAACATAGAAAAATGCATAATACTACATATACATAAAGAAGAAATCATCTATTTGTCCACTATTAAATAATAAATACTGTCCTATAGCTTAGAGCTTAGGGTTAAAAGTACTAGGCACTAGGGACAGAGTAATCTGGACAAAAGCCAAGAATCACTAGGGACCATGAGTAGTGAAAACAATACTCACCCGTCACAGCATACCATCTCAGCCCAAAGTCCTATATTATCAGTAATAAGATTAAGGCAAGATAGAAGTACAGTAAACAGGATGTGTTAGGAGTTCAAACATGCAGTGAGAGAAAAACTACTTCTTTTTTAACTTCTTTGAAACTTACTACTGTATTGTATTTTCTCATGCTTGAGACTGCAATAAAAGCCAGTGAGGAATGTTGGGAGGGGGTGACACCCTTGTTTCTCCTTGCAGAGGGCTTGCTGGTGTTAGCCTCCCCAGGGCCCTCAGTTCAATGCAAATGGACTGAGTAGGTGTTATTCATTTGTATTGAGTCACTCCGACACTGTCCAAAATCTTTCCTTTTATATATTTATTCATACATATAAATGCACATTTACTTTTATGTGGACAGTGTTAAGATCATACTACTTAGAGCTTCTATAAGCTGAGTATTGTCTTAAGTGTTTTTCCTACTTTTTAATCATGTTTCTTTTTTATTTCTTATTGGCATAATGTGATTTTTACAATCATAGATATTTATGCATCATTTAAAATTTTTGATGCGTTTGCCAAATTACTTTCTAGGAAAGTCTTACTAAGATCATTCCCAACTGTGTATTTTGTGTTCACATAAGCCTGTCGAAGTGGAACTTTTCTCCAACTTCAGAAGCTCATACTTTTTATAGTACTTTTGATTTTCATCCAATGAAGTTTATTTCATAAATATTGGCTATTGCAAATTGAGAGAGGGGTTGCTTTTTCTTTTTCAGCTAAAAAATATTTATTACTTTCCTTTGTAGACACAATCTAGAGTAATGATCTCAAGCCAGACCTATACAAAAAGAAGTAAACTGTTAATAAGGAAAATATAGACATCTGATCCAGAAAATTCAGATTAAAAAATACCTATGTGCAGCTTTAATGTTACATATATGTTGAAGTAAAGGTTAGAGCTTCTCCCACAAAACAAGCCGTTAAGCCAACCCCCAAGTTACCAGTCAACTAAGCAGAATGGTTAAGTAGCAAGATATTGCTACCTATTTACTCACCTCTAAAAATACAAAATTTCCAGCCTAAATCTGTTCCAGATGGGTCTGTTTGCCTATAGATGCTTAATCATGCTAGCATACTCTTTAACTTCCAAGTTAATAATTCACTAACACCAACTAAAAAGAAAAGAAATTATATATATGTATTTATTTATATATTTCATATATTTACATATTATATATATCTTTTTGGAAGCAGTATTTTTCTCCATATTTCAAAATAATGTACCTGTAATGGCTCTTTTTCTTTCCATAATTACCTCTGTCAAGGTATATAGAAAATGAATTAAAATTACTTAAAAGGTTAAACCAAAATTAGATTCACTCTCAAGAAAATAATTTGCCTAGGAGGATAATCAAGGTATTGTCACTAGATAAATCAGACTAAATGCATCAGTGGCTCTAACTCTTTTTGAGTTAAATAGATTCCAGTAAAAATAGTATAGCTAGAGAGGAAATCAGAATAGCCAGGTATTGGAAATGCATTAAAACTGCATTAATCCAGGACTTTGTGATATTTCAGTAAGGGCTTAGTTGACATTTATCTTTGCTTAGTAAATGTGGGTTTTGTTCTTTTACTATTTTTTTTTTTTAGGTATAAAATTAATGGTGTAAACAAGATTTTAAGGAGAGCATTTTAAAGTCTCAGAACCAATTACCTGTAGGAACTTTAAACAAACCATTTATATATAAGAAATGAAAGATTGTTAGTCTTACTTCCATTAACACAGCAACCTGTATTAGGTGAAAATGAATAGATTAATTGACTTTGTTAACCTAGTTTAATTTGAAATAAATAACAGGAACAAATCTAAATATTTCAAGGTCTTCTTTGGTATGGTTTCCAGCACCCCGCATGTACTGTACCTCCCTCGTTTAAGTTTCTGATTACATTTGTTTACTTGCGAAATCTATTTTTTTAGAAATAATAATGCCTAATACACATATACAAACATTCAAAATGTCCAGTAATTAAATACATTTAATTTAAACAACAATGACATTCCATTTTTACTCTTGAAATTTTCAAAGACTTTTCAAATATTATTACTCATTGGCTGCAGGGCTTCAGTGAGATGAGCCTATGCATGAAGGAACTTTAATAGTTTATGTGATTTTGCAGTGATTTGCTAATCACATGAAAAATTTGTTACATGATAAAGAAATATGTAAATATATTGTTTAACAGCATGTATTATAATAGTGGAGATCTTTCTACCAAACTCCCGATTTGACACTTCCTTGAACTTGAGCAACTTATTTATTAAACTCTCTGATCCTTAGTTTTCCTATTATAAAGTGGGCATAAACTATTTGACTAATAGAATGTTGATGAAGTATATGTGAGTTAAATACATTCCAGAAAAATAACGTGGCCTGCCACTTAAAAAGTACTCAATAAAGTGAGCCTTTTACTCTGTGCAGTGTGATCCCCACCATGGAAAAGCTGCATTAAAAATAATGCGAGCAAATGATGCTGGTACATAATTTTTTTTTAAGTGGCTGTCTCTATATGTTATATAATATTTTAAAATTATTTTTAGTATTTTCAGTCTTTCCCACATTTTATATTTATCAACGTAAGCAATAAAGATGGAAGAAATAAATATGTATGTTTAATATTACTTATGTTCCAAAAGATTCTGAACATGTAAATATACATATTTACTTGATATATAAAATATATATATTTTCAAAACATGTACTTGATTGTTATAGAAATAGCTTTTGATTGACTTATTCTGATTTTGATTATAATAATTGTTCATTAAAGAAAATGTAAAAGTCTTTTTAAAAGTAAAAAATATCCAAAAAAGATTTTAAAGATTTTTTCTAGTTTCTCTCTATATATATTATAGCTGCATGACCTTGATTTGAGTGTGCACTGGTTATCGTACCCTTGAAAGACAACTTACAATAGGTTATAAAAGTGTATTTTTTTAAGATAGCTATGGTTGTTTTCTTTTCTAATATAGGATAAATTATCCGCATTATTATGACAATTTACTTTATAAGACTAAACTTTTTTGATAAACTTTGTAATATGTAAATCATATCCATATTCTCAAACAATGTTATAATAATTATATTCTCAAATAATTGTATAGAAGGGGATGTGACCATGGAAAAATGCACATTTTGCATCAAAAACAAAAACTGTGAACAGTAAATAAGCTGTCCACCAAAATGTTTTAGTTGGATAATTCCAACAACAACAGTCATCAGTTACCAACAATGAGGTACTGATTTCTAGCAGTATTGATAATCTTTTCTATTTGTCAACATATATATCAAAATCTCAAAACAGTATTACTTTTTTTTTTTTCTTTTCCTGGAGACAGAGCCTCACTATGTTGCCCTCAGTGGAGTACTATGCCATCACAGCTCACAGCCACCTTGAACTCTTAGGCTCAAGCGATTCTCTTGCCTCAGCCTCCTGAGTAGCTGGGACTACAGGCACCCACCACAATGCCTGGCTATTTTTTTTTATTATTAAATCATAGCTATGTACATTAATACAGTCATGGGGTACAGTGTGCTGTTTTTATATACAATTTGAAATATTTTCATCAAACTGGTTAACATAGCCTTCATGTCTTTTTCTTCGTTATTGTGTTAAAGACATTTGTATTCTACATTTAGAAAGATTCACATGTACCCTTATAAGATAAACCATAGGCGTGATCCCACCAATCACCCTCCCTCTACCCATCCTCCCCCCTCCCCTACCCCGGCTATTTTTTTTGTTGCATTGTCATTGTT